AAAAAATATTCAATGTTATGTGTTCTTCTATTGAACAAAACATTTTTCTCTCCTTTGCAATCTATCTCACATAATGGTGTTGATGTTCTTGTTGTATTTTGGAATAATCTTCATATGTTGTCAATCAAAGAAAACAACATTGCTTTCCTCGGTTGACAATATTGATAAATTTATCCCTAAACATGCTGTAAATTGCATCCAAAAATGGTGATTGGTACAAAATTAAAATGGAAAATGAGATGATACTTTCAATTCTTTATCATTCACCATTTTTTCTTGAAACTTATTACCTTTGTTTTTTTCTAAAAATGAGAGATTTTCTTATTTTATTTTATTTTTCTATTTAAAAAAGAAAATACTTTTCCCCCCGATTTTTTAACAAAGCATTGAGGCTTTGTTACACAACTACAACAACTAATCTCTATCCTACATTTATAAAGGAAAAAAACTCAAAATATTGCCAATACATCAATCTGTAATAAACTATCTACATTCACCACTATATATCTTATTATCTTTCTTTTGAAAGCATTTGCCATAAAAACATTTTCTCAAGATAATGAAATCTTAGAACTTAAACAAGGTTGAAAAAGTTCTCTATAATGGATTGCAAGTGTAGAAAAATATATTTTCTTCAAGTTAAACAAGGAATGAAGATCAACCTTGAATAACTTATAAGAAGTTGGATGCATACAAGGTATACAACAAAGTATGATTACAACAAAAAATTGTTGTTCTCCAGAATAACAATGTCAGTGATGAATCTTAATTTGTTGTAATCAATGTATTTTAATATTTTGTATAAACAATATAATGTTTTAAAAATAAAGGTTAGTCCCCTCGATTTTCATCTGAAATTGAGAGCTAAATACTTTTTATCTCGATTTTTGTCATAACCTAGGGGATAATTAAGTCTGTTTATTGAGGATATTCACTGCCCTTAAACAAATCTTTGTCGTCCATTTAATGAGTGTCAACTCTCAAGATACTATCATTAGTGATCCACGTGAAACATAAAAAACTTCAATTATAAAAGCATTTTGAATATCAAAATTTGATACTGAAACATGAAGCGCTTGAAACTATATACATCAACCACTATATGTTTTATTCTCTTTCTTGTGAAAGAATTTTCCATAAAAAGTTCTCTATAATGGATTACAAGAGCGTAAAATTATTTGGGTTTAAGGTTTGTGTTCTTAAATATTTATTAGAGCAAAAAATTATTTATTTATCTAACTATTTTTTGTTTTATATCAGAAAAAATGCAAGTAAAATCCATTTAGAATGTACACGCACCTAACATTTGATCTTCCCCAAAATTCAATGACTCGAAGATCCAACATTTGATCTTCATTGACAAATTAATTTTTACTTTAATATTTTGTTTAAACAATATAATATTCTAGATAAACAATATAGTTTATAAACAAATTAATTTATTAATATTATGTGTAAACAGTGTAAAGAGTTTTTTTTAAACAATTTATCTTACCTCTCAGTTTTATTGATAAAGTGAGAGGTATTGTGTGCTAGATTAGAAAATAATAAAAGTACAGATATTGGGGTTTGATCCATGTGCAGATAACTTTATCCCTCAGTGTTATCAAAATCGAGGGATAAAGTGGCATATTTTTATGACACCCTTTGTTACCTCACTTCTGTAGCCGATGTTAAATGCATTTTTCTCTGAGATTAAATGTATTTTTGTAGTAGTGGTCACTTTAGTGATAAACGACTACAACTATAGGGAAAATCAGAAGATGCAAAGAGATATTTTAATATTATTGTGAGACCTCGAGAGTTATTCCCTTGACTTATTGCATACATACACCACTAGATCACTTTTTGCCTCATCTGTCATGACAGATCTCATCAGGCACACAAAAATATGAATTTTATTAGATGGATCATTAACTTACTGTGATTACTCAATATTATTGTTACCAATTTTTTCATGGTTATTCACCAGATTTTAATTAGAAAAAAATAAACTTAAACTATCACAATCTTTGTGTGATCAATACTCTTACTTTTTATATGATTTACTATTGTTTGACTGTGTATACTTGTACGTATCAATAGTTCACACAACAAGGATAATTTTAATAAAAGTAATCATTAAATTAATGTGAGCATTTAAATAAAATTCCATATTAATTTGATAGAATATTTTTGCATATTTGGTAGTTAGAACTTCTTTTACATTTGCATTTTATATTTTATTGTGAAACATCCTTTTGAAGGACAAAAGTTTCAGAAATAATAAATAATTATATGTATTTTATTTGTGTGTATACATAGATGAGAGGTTTAAGACGACGAGCAATTTTTTATGTGTTTATAGTTTCATGAAATTGAAAATGATGCATGTATGAAGTATTTATATGTGTGCAAGTTGGAGGCAAAAAGGGAGGCTTGGAAATTGAAAAGAAATGTAATTTTTTTAAAAAAATTCAATATGTGTCGACACATATAAGTCATCTGTCGACACATATAATGACAGGTGTGGACCTATTAAAGGTCATGTGTCGACACATCAAAACAAAGGCTTACATGCTTTAAAAATATTGTATATGTGTCGATCTGAAACATGCATGTGTCGACACGTGGATGAAAACTTTCAATATGTGTCAACATGAAGAGATGAATTTGTTGACACATAGTTACTGAAACTACATGCTTTATTATTGATTCACATGTGTTGACTCATATATAGTATGTGTTGACACATAGACCTATTTTCATGTAAAAACTCATTTTTAATGCATGATATATTTTCTAAATATATTTTAAATGCATTCTAAGATTCCTAATGTAAATGTGCACATTAAAACTCAAATATCGTTCAATATACGGAAATGCTAAGGTTATCCTAGTTTTGACATTATGCAAAACATCTAATGGGAAAATACACTCACAAAATCTATAATATTTTGACTTGTCGACGTGCGAGGAGTGCTTCCCAGCTTGGAGGTACTTCATCCTAACTTCCTTAAACTCTGTTTCCACACTCTTGTAAGTGTTACATGAAAAAGTATTTTATGCGCAACAATATTTCTCTAGAAAAGTGTTTCCCATAAACGATGACATAGTCTTGTATTGGAACATAAGACGATTGAAGTGATGATGGAGATTTTCGTAGAGTGTTTTTTGTGTGGTTGAGAGAATTCTTTATTGAACGAATAAGGTACATGCAAGATTAATACTCGGATGCTGAAATTAATAAATGATTGGGGTGAAACATTGAAAACGTGTAATATATCATTCTTGGGTTTGACTCATAGACACGCTTATATAGGAGAGATCGTTGTAATCGTTTCAGAATCTTCTGACATAAAGTGTAGATGACTGTTGAGTGATGATTATTAGCTTAGTGTGAAGGGAAATTTGCATTCTTCTGACATAAAGTGTGAATGACTGTTGAGTGATGATTATTAGCTTAGTGTGAAGGGAAATTTGCATTCTTCTGACATAAAGTGTGAATGACTGTTGAGTGATGATTATTAGCTTAGTGTGAAGGGAAATTTGCTCCCATGCTCTGATTCATAAGATATGCTTTGTGGGGTAATGTGACGAGTTTCTAAATAGGTTGCACTTGTGTGGCTTGGATGTTTCTTATGGATCCTGCACCAACCTAAAACACATGTTGTAACTTGATCCCTTTATAACTTGATCTTTGATTTAAAATTTGATTGAAAAATGTTCTTGAATGTTATTAATGATATATAATCTATTGAATCTAATTTTTACAAATATGGTTAGGTTTAATCTTCAAGAATCATTTCCCGTCAAAAAAAAAAAGAATCATTTGTGTTTAATGATATATCATATATTAAATGTTTGATGAATTGATATTTAGAAAATAAAATTGATTACATATCTCATTAAAAGTTAAGGGCATTTATTTGGTGGATTGAAAATTTATTTTCAAAAATTTTGATTAGAATATTTTTCTTTTTTTAATATTTATTTCAAGTTTTATTAAATTATATTTAAAAAAAAAATTATTTTCAGGAAATCATTTTACATATTATTCTGTCACTTTTTATTTCCATGAGAATAAGAAGCAAGCCACCCATAACTTCTCATTCTTATATATTTTAATTCATTTATTTTATATTTTATATTTTAAATAAAATATATTTTATAAATATTTTAAAGAAATTATTTTTTTCATCAAACACATAGATGGAAATAAAATTTCTAAGAATAATGTTTCTAGAAAGTATTCTCATAAAGCAAACACACCTGATAATATTTGATTAACGATAATGGTGATAACAATGAACATTATCGGTCTAATCATTAAAATGTTTTAAAAATATTAATAAACTTAACCCCTACAATTTAATCTCAATGTTACTTTTGTTTTACTTTTGTCGTCATTTAACTCATTCACCTTTTTAAGATATAAACACAAAAATAAGCATTCTACTAAATATGCCAAATCTAAAAACACTTAAGCACAAGAAGAAAAAAAGATTATTTGAACACTAATATTGTGTAGAAAAAAACAGTAATTGAGGACACCTCATTTTATTTATTTTTTATATAATCGAGGACACCTCATTTCAAAACTAAAGAAATTTCACTCTTAAATCCAAATAATTATCTTTCTTTCAACTCAAACGATTTACTAAAAAGTGTTTACAAATTAAGATTCCATAATTCATAATTCATTATTCTTCTACTTTCCTATTTTCCTTTTCATTCCTGTTGACTATACAAATTCAGAATTAGATTTCTTGATTGGGAAATTAAAATAAGCCTCTTAATATCGTCATAAACAAGAAGAAAAACAATTAGAAAATAATCCAATTCAACACCGATGTAAATTAGGAATCAATGTGTTACATAATAATATGAATCATAATTTAATACTCAACAACAATATAAATCAAATCCTCTAAAAAAATTGCTCATAAATTTAGAAAAGAAATCCAAAAACAAGAGCAACAAAGGATGCAATGATTGTTGGCACAAAAAGGGTTGTAGCATCAGATGTAGGGCTTGGAGCCGGTGCTTCTTGAGCTGAAACAGTTGATGCTGCCATCATCATGGCCACCACCATCATAACAACAAAGAATTGATTTATCTTCATTGCCTCCATTTCTGAAACTTAATTGATACTTTCTTAATTTCTTTGATGATGAAAAGAAATTGAGAAAGTTAGTATTCAGAAACAAGGATTGATAGTGGATGAACATTAAGGGCATGTGTTGTGACTTTATATAGTTGTTGCAAGACAGGAGAAGATTAAAATAAACAATTATTTTTGGCATATGCTAGGCTGTCCCAACCATTTGTTTTTGAGGATTCCAAGGATGCCAATTGGCTTCACACATTTGAATGGATGGGAGAAGGAGAGAGAGAGGAAACAAGTTTTGATGGATTCTTTTCTATAAAAAACAGTGGATGTGGTTTATTGTTGTGGAAATAGCTCTTTTAATTTGCGGATATGTTAGATGTTATTATTTTTGTTATTGAATTTATTAAAATTATAAATATATTTATAGAAGTCCCTTTTAATAGATATTTGATTTATCAAATTTATTTTAAGTGATTAATTTAGTTAACAATATATTTTAAGGATATCGAACTTATCATTGAAACTTTTCGACACATCATATGTCACTCAGTGTGTCTGCTAGTAAGTTTTGGTATTCGACTAAGTTTTGTTTGACCTTTTGTTGTTCATTTATAGTTTAGTGATGTATGATCCTTGACTAGCGAGCCTTGGTGTTTGAATGGTCGTTTTGTTTGATTTTGGTTTTTTTTTCTTTCTTTTGTCTTTGTGTGTTCTTTATAAATACACTGTTAAAAAGTTTTCATAGACGTTTTATCACATTTTTTAAGAAAAAATAAGGAGTTTTTCATTGATTACCTGCAAAAGAAGTTAATAAGTGTTTATGAATTTTATATATTTTGTGCACTTATCAATCTCTCCAACTTATTTTTTTGTTTATCCTCAAATAGATCAATACATAGGGTTCAGGAAATTTATTATTCAGTGATCATGAAAGGTCTCAAGACTTGACGAAGAAATTTTTTAAATCATTTTAAAGTATGACATGATTTTTCTTCACGTGCAAGTTCGTAATCAGTATTATAAGCATCCATAAACTATAGCATAAGGATAAAAAATTTGCTTACCAAAGTATGATTTAAAACATATTAAGATCAGTTGTCAACTATTTATAAGAATCATTATCTCACTTGTGTATCACTTATATGGGATATTGTTTTCCTTAATTATCAGATTATGAATCAACTTATAAAAATATTTTGCATTTTATTTAAGCAATATCACAAGATAAATAATAAGTCATGGGCAACTAAGATCTTTGTTTTTTGTTGTAATGTGGTTAGGCTAGAAGAATCTTGATTTTCTTGGGATTCAAATGTGCCTATCAGGTAAGAGAGCAATATTTAATGTGTTTCTTTTTGTTTAAAAAAGATCTCTATCTTTTCCCACCTTAAAACTTCTTTTTTATGAACTTTGAAAATTTGACTTTTTTTCTTTCTTTTTGTTTGCCAAAATACATTATTTTTCTTTGATCAGATCACAATCGCTATTTACTACTTGGATTCTTTTTATTATTCAAACATTATTTTTTTCCCGAAATTTATTATTTTTGTGCATCCTTGAAATTCTAATGCTCTCATATTTTTAAGACAAGGTATGAACATTTTTTTCTTTAAAAATTGACTCAGGGTTCTATTTTCAAAAACAAAATTTTTCACGTTTAAAATTTAAAGGGATTGTCAAAGGATCGCACTCTCACAAGGTATACTTTTTAGTCAAATACAATTTTTTACTCAAGAAACGAAAAGTTCTTTGATCATATCCATGACATCATATACATTCACTAATAGCAAAAATGATGCAAAATTATCATAATTAGAATGCATGTCTACTCATATACATTAATATGTAAAACATGATGAATGAACTTATCTCACTTGGTTTAGGCTTATGATTCTTGACTTACATTGACATATTTTCACTAAACAAATGATAAATTCAAATTTCTAATTAAGAAACTAATTTATGACATGCTATTAATTCAAATATAATCACAATATTAATCATGAAGAAAAAGTTTAAAAGAATAAACCTTTTATCATGCCCTCATTCTTGATGTTGTCATTCTCCTAAACTTTTATTCACCTGCGTTTGGTCTTTTCAAATTATTTGAACCATCTGCAAACAAACAACTTCAAATAAAATTTTCAAGTTTTTTTGAATATGTCTTAAATAAAGCAATTGAAATCACAAGTGTTTTTAGCGTGTATAATCATTTTTTATCTCTATGCATTCCACTCATCTAGAAAAGTTTGGTTTGTCCTCAGGTCATCAAAATTGGGTTGGCCTACACAAGAAGCATCACAACTTGCTAAGTCGGGAGAATCTTGTAAATGAGTTTGGTGCAGCAAAACTCTCTTAGCGAGCCACACAACTGGCTTAGCAAACTGTCTGCTAACTTTAGTGGTACTTTTTTTACTTTGTTATAACTTCGGACACATTCATGAAAACTAAACACTCATTCATTTGCAGATGAAGTCCAAAGGATACTCAGATGTTTCAGGAGTTTGTACATGCCCATGTACTTAGTACAAAAAGACCAACATGTCCAATTCTACTTGTTCGTGGTATTTGTTAGTAATACACATAAAACTACGCAAATTGTTCAAAACATAATATAATTAACTAGAAAGCAGTAAATAAAAGAAAATAAAGTTCACGGTGATGGTAGAACGGCGCGTCAACAACTCGATCATCATCATCATCATCTTCTTCTTCATCTTCTTCTTCTTTTTCTTCTTTTTCTTCTTCTTCTTCACATTCGACTCATTCTTCTTCCTCTTTGTTTTCACTTTCATCTTAGGTAACCAATCTTAGCGTGCCTACAATTTTCCTTCTTAAGTAATGTTATCTCATTTGCAAGTGGTCTTGGTCATCTTAACCTCTCTTAACACACTTCTAGCTTGCTTAGAGAGTTAACCCTTCCTTTACTCTGAAGTAAGTTCACCTTAAAGCTTTTAGACAAACCATATCTCGCTTAGGGCATTTGCTAGCGAGTTCTGGTGTTTGGCTGAGGTTTGCTTGGACTTTTTCTACCTATTTATAGCTTAGCGAGGTATGGTCATTGGCTAAGCGAACCTTGGTTCATGAATGGAAGGTTTTGTCTAATTTTGGAACTTTCTTTGTCCTTTTTGTATGTTCTTGATAAATACACATTTAAAAAGTTCACACATGTGTTTTATCACATTTTCCTGATAGATTAGAGGATTTGTTTCATTAATTACTTGAAAAATAAGTTAATAAATACTTATAAATGTTATATATTTTTAGCACTTATCACTTTGCATATATGATGTCACATGAACTCCCATTGTCAATGAGAATTCATGAAACATCATAAGTGGTCATGGTCTCCACAATTATTATAGGAAAAATAATTATAGATATCCCTTCTAACATCTCTTCAACCATAAATTATAGAATGGGCTGCTTCAGGTTCTTTCATGATTCTAGACTTCTATTTTGATAGGATAATAACATCTTAAAGATATTGCTCTTTATGGTTCTTTTGGGTTTCTCCTTTGGGAATGAGAATCTTTCTATGGTTGAGGAAATGAAAGGTAATTTAATTTTAAGTGATCTTCTCTAATACTTTCTCACTCTTTATCATTTCCTTTGATTGCTTGAATTATCTTTCTTGGTGGTAATCATCCCAAAGGAGGGATCTTTTTCTTCGTGGAGATTCACGGTTACAAATAACTTTCAACGGAGAGTCCATGTGTCTCTTTTTGTCTCTTATCTGACCATATTTATTTGTATACCTTTAAAGAATCCACTTATTGATTAATTATTTAATTAATTCTTGAGGTGTATGCAGTCATCTACCTCGTGCGCACTATACTTGTGAAACCTGTAATATTTTGACTTGTCGACGTGCGAGGACTACTTCATGGATTTGTGGTACTTCATCCAAGAATCCTTAAACTTTGTGTTGACATACTCTTGTAAGTGTTACAGGGAAAACTTTTTTGTGTGCAACACAATTTCTTTCTCATAGTGTTTCCTACAAAAGGTGTCATTATATCTTATTGGAACAAAAGATGACTATTGTGATGATGGATATTTTCACAGTTTATTTGGTTTACATGAGATAGTTCTCTAGTCAACGCATAATGTATATGCAAATTTAGAATTTTAATGCTCAAGTATGTAAGAGGCTAACTAACGAATGATGATTATTAATTTGGAGGGAAAATGAGGTGTTCTCTTATGTAATGTTGTGTGATGTATATATATAATACATGAAATTTGTAGTTATAATGAAATTATGTGTGAATTAAGGCATAGTAAATATGAATTAGGATTTGTATGTTTAGTGTGTTATTTGAAGTGTTTGGGCAAAAAGAGTTTTTCTGTGATTTCTATCGATCTGAAGATTCGACTAATTTTCTCAATTTCTATAAACTGTGATCTGTAATTTTCCGCAAAAATGTCAAAAAAATCATTTTTTCTTTGAAAGCACAAAAATTGAAAATCATATTTTCTCTAGGGGTCGTGTGGTGGAGTTGCGGAGGCCTATCCACACCGGTCAATTTGAGATGGTGGAGCCGCGTCTCGACGGCTACGGCCAGCGATTGCAAGATTGTAAAAAAAGGATTTGCTGCAAGGGCAGCGGCCGGACGTTAGAAGTTGCACCGTGATGGTTGCGGCTGGATGCGGGTGAGCCAATAAATGGTGGCTACGATATGCGCTTGGGAGGAGTATTTATGCAGAATAGACAGATGATAGTTATGCTTCACAAAAACTGAATATTCAAGAAAGGAACTATCCTACCCATGGTTTAGAGTCGATAGTTGTAGTGTTTGTGTTGAAAATATGAAGGCACTATTTGTATGGTTTGATGTTTGAGGTGTTTAATGATCTTAAGAATTTCATATACTTATTTGATTAGAAGGAGTTGAATCTGAGGCATATGAGATGGTTAGAATTTTTGAAGGAATAGGTCCTTAGTTTGATTTACCATCCCGATAAAGCCAATGTTGTAGCAGATGCATTGAGTCGAAAGTATTTGCACATGTCAGCAATGATGGTTAAAGAGTTTGAATTAATATAACAATTTAGAGACTTGAGCTTGGTGTGAAAGGTGACTACCAATAGTGTGAGATTGGCTATGCTAAAGTTGACCAGTGG